GGCGGGTGGCGGTACGGGCGCCGAGGACGACGAGGAGGAGCTGCTGGAGGATGAAGAGGACGAGCTGCTGGAGGACGACGCCCGCGCGCTGCTCAAGGAGCCCCGGCGCTGTGCCGTGGCCGCCACTGGCGCGGTAGCCGCCGCCGCCGCCGCCGCCGCCGCCGTGGCCACCGAGGGCGGGGAGCTATCGCCCAAGGAGGAGCTGCTGCTGCACCCAGAGGACGCTGAGGGCAAGGACGGCGAGGACAGCGTGTGCCTGTCAGCGGGCAGCGATTCGGAGGAGGGGCTGCTGAAGCGCAAACAGCGGCGCTACCGCACCACGTTCACCAGCTACCAGCTGGAGGAACTGGAGCGGGCCTTCCAGAAGACGCACTATCCAGACGTCTTCACCAGGTACGCGAGGGGGGCGGTCGCGGCTTTCGCGGCGGTAGCTAGTGGAGAGCTCACGCGGGCCCCAGGGAGGGAAGGCGGGTGGGCAGGGGCCCCGGGTTCGAGGCAGGGGCTTGGCTCCTGGACTCTACCCAGGTGTGCCCTCCCAGTGCACCCACCCCTGCTCACCAAAAACTACCCACACCCAACCCCACCCCTACTCCGGGCTTTAAGTTCGGACTGGGATGATTTCTTTCCTTCCCAAAGTCTCTCCAGTTTAATTTTTTCAAATTACGAGTTTTAGTTAGAGAAGAACGGCCTCTCCAAAGGGTGCCTGAACGCACCACCTTGGAGGCACGCGTACCCCAGCGCACATACTCAGGACCCCGGGCGCTTCGGTCCCGGCCAGGTCCCGGGCGAGGCGCAGGAAGCGCCGCGGGGCCCTCGCGGCCAAGGCAAAAACAGGGGCTATTTTTGGCCACTGTGTGGTGCGCTCGCCACCCCCGCCTGATGCCCCAGGAGACTGGTGGGTATCAGTTACGCTGTTCGCTGTTCACAGTAGAGCTGGAGCCGGTGCCTGCGGAGGCCTTTAAAAAAGATTCAAGTTCTGTCGTTTGAGGACTCCTAAAATAACGGCAGGAAGTCAGAACTGGACAGGATTTGGTATCTGTACATCTGGGGGGCAGCAGCCAGAATCTTCCCCTCTCATTGCTGTCCTCTCTTCCCCCCCACACACATTAAGCCCAGCGTTCATTTCACGCACACGGGTTTACAGGGGTGGGACACGAATGCTGGCAGCCAGGCAGACAGTGGACCAAACAGCTGGGGGGATTTTTCTCTTCGGACGGCTGTCGGGCCAGGGTGTTCCGCCTGATCACGCTCCAGTTCCCTCTTGCCCCAGTGTTTTGGGGAAAGAGGTGAGACGACTGAGCCCCTGGGCCCCAGCTTATCCATCCAACCTGGAGCGCTGGCTGCCTGGGGGCCTTCCTCTCCCACCCTACAGCCAAGATCTGGGCTCAGGCGAGGAGCCAGCATCTGGGCAAACTTCCTACAGTAGGTCGGGAGAGAGGGCTGGGTGTCTGCCTGGCGCAGGGCTTGTCAAGCTCCGGCAGCTTGTTCACTCAAGACGTGTGCAGCTTTTCAATATGCATCTTAGAAGCGGAAAGCTGCCCACCCTTTTGAACCGCAGGAGACATTGCTGCTCAGAGCTGACGAGGCCCGAGCCAGCTCTAAAGTGTTGCTGATCTGGCAAGTAATGGCCAGACTCTCTCCTAACCAGTAATGGAAAAGAGTTGATCTGGTGCTGGCATACACTAACCTTGGTCATCCCTTGAGCTAAAGTTGGTCCTCCTTCTATCATCCAGTCCCTTCATTTTCTTTAAAAAAGAACACAAAATTTAAAATCTGTGTGTGCTGTCCAATAGCTAACTGGCCGACCTGCTTTTTGCATTTATCACACATGTGTGTTTCAAAAGAAGAAAATGATGTGGTGTCGATTGGCACCCAGGTCCGCCCTTTTTTACCTTCTCCAGGGGGAACCGTAGTACGTGAAAGGGGGCAGCTCCTCTTCACCGCCCCGTGCCCACCCCTTTCCGACTGGGGGTTACTTAGAGCTCCTTAGTTCGGGCAGGGAGCCAGCCAACAGTGAGGTTTTGGATTTGCTGGTGCTCACTGCAGCAGGGGGGCAGCCGAAAGCGCTGCGCTGCTTGGTGAGCCAGTTTTCTCCTGGTCCTGAAGTTTCAAGTGTGGACTGGGGGGCCTGCCGGCAGTGCGGACCCAGGTCCCAGGCTAGGGCAGCCCCCGATCTTCCATATTAGCGGGGGCACAGCCAATTATTCGCTCAAGCTCAGATTTTCGGTAAACAGGTCGTACGTAAGGCATTTTACAGCATCTTAATGGTTTCCTATTTGCCTTAATTGTCGCAGTAATAACTGCAATGACGGGGTAGGGTTTCAGTTAAATCGACTTCCCCTGAGATGGGCAGGGTTTGTAGTGGGCACTGGAGTCAGGAGGTGCGCAGAATTTTGTTTAATCAAAAAATTACCCCACTGAACTCTTAACAAGCTTAACATATCTCCAGAGGGTAATGGGGAGTATGACCTAAGGGAAGAGGGAGGGAGGGAGGCGGGGGAGAGAGAGAGAGAGAGATGAAGGGAAAGGCGGAGAGCTGGCA